GACTGAGTAACTTGCTTCAACTTCCTCTAAACCTTACGGAGTTGCCAAGTCTGCCCTCCCTCCCGTGAGTCATGCTGAGCTCTGGCCTATAGCATTGCGGGATCTGGGGCCTCGGGTGGGCCCACCTAGCGCCTCTGAATGTCGCTGCTTGAAAGCTACTGCAAGTGAGGGCAAATGGCAATCTTCTGGTTCTTTTGTTGCAAGAGGTCTTCACAGGTCAGGGGCCCACTCCCCGCACCTGCCTGTAGGGGCTGGCCGGCTGTCAGCCCCCACCCCACCTTTCCGACTGCTGGCCACACGCCAACTCCTGTCTTGGCCTTTCCCTGGCGGCAGGAGGCCACCCCTTCCCTCCAAGGCCTCTGGTTCTGCTGGCTTTCGGGACTGTGGGTGGAAGGGAAAACACCAAAGAGGCCCCTTTGCGCTGACTGCTGCACACACATTTCACTTTTGTTCCTTTGACATGACCAAAAAATCCAAATATTTAAGTTATTATTATTATTAGTTGACAATCTTATGTCCTGTGGGCTCTCTGAAGCCGCACCCGGCCCGTTTCCTTTTCTTTGAATGTAGTTCCCGCCTCAGTCCCCACTCCGCCCGGAAGCTCCGCCAGGTCTTCCTCTGTGATTTGCCAGGGAGGGTGGTTTCTTTGTTTGGTTTTGTTTTGCTTTTTAAATTTCCAGCCAAAACCAAAGATTTCTTAATGATTGTATAAACTCAAAACAAACAAAAAAACCAAAGAAAAGGGCAGTCTTCAGCGTCGATCCAGTCTGTGGCGTCCTGGCCGGCCCCGAGCAAGGCCGGGCAGGTGGGGCTCTGGCCGCGGAAGGGCAGGTGTGCGCGCACTCGGCCTGGAGCTTGGGCCCTGCCGACTGTGAACATGCCGTGGAGCACAGTGGCGTTTCAGATTCTTCAGAACAGCAGACAAAACCCATCGCCACGATAATCCGCCCACAACGCCACGGTCACGGCCAGGCAGGGCTGAGCCCAGGACGAGGAGGGTGGGTGCTGCTGGCCCAGGACTCCACAGAGTGGGGAGGCCGAAGACAGACACTGGCGCAGGACTGGCTGCTCTGCTGGGTGCTAACCTCTGGGCTGGCGCTGAGCACGCCCAGGGCCCTTCGGAGCCTTCGTTCTCTTTCCTTTCCTGGGACCGCGGCAGCGGCTGTCCCCGCGGGAGCGTGCAGAGCGCTTGTGGACCTTTCATTCCCCACTGTGGCTGTCTCCTTCCTGCGGCGCGCTGCGCAACTATGCATCGTGTTTCTCACCTGTGCTAGGTAGATGCCTGTGACTTTTTAACTGGGGGGCGGGGGTTGCAAATGAAGGAACTTTTTACACGGATCTTTTTAATCTCAGCTTATGGGGGGGTGGGTTCTAGGGTCATACAAGCTCTATCCCAAAGCAAAACCCAAATGTTAGTAATCTTAGGCTGACGCAGATACCAAAGAGAATCCCGCCCTGCACCGCAGACTGCGGAGTGCGCGCACCGCACCTGCACTCGTCTGACCTCAGCAGTTCCAAAGCGTAGATGTATATTTTGGTATATTTCTGGGATATTAAAAAATGTTGTTTAACTTCTCGTTTGTTTCCGTGTAAAGTCATAGCATGAAAATAACTGAACTGTCCTATTCTTAGTAGTTTGAAATAATAGTATTTTTGTATGTTTGGGTGTGTCTATGTATGTATTAACATAACAGTTTTCACTGCCTCGGAGTTCCTAATAAAAAGAAATGAAATGCTCTGCGTGTCCATGCTGTCCAGTAGTAAGCGCCCACCCCTTTAGTTTGGAGTGCTTATCGCTGATGACCCGCCCACTGGGGCTTTGTTTTCTTTTAAAGAGACAGCGATCGTGTTTTTCTAAAGATGTTTTCTTTCTCTCTGTCTTCAAATAACTCCCTCACCTTTTTTTCTTTTTCTTTTTTTTTAAATATTGATTCAGGGGTGTTTTTCCACTGTTGTCAAGGGAGGGACACGAGGGGGAATTGGCCCCTTGGCCTCCCATACATTTTTGTTTTATGTGCCTAACTTTAAAATGTGAGTTTGAGTTCTCTTTTGTGGAAACTTAAGATGTGGTGTATGATTCTTTCCAACATGGTCCAGCAGCTCCAGCGAGGCAGTGACCACTCCTGGGGAGTTGACGGGACCCCTGCCCCGTTTCTCCTGGTGGTTTCGCGATCTGGGTGGCTATTGTGTAGCCCCACTGCCCCAGACGCCTGGGTAGCCAGTGCCCCCCTGCCAACCCCTCCCAGGAATATTTCGTAAGAGTCAGCTGATAACATGGCATGGGGACTTTGCATTGGGGGGGATTCGCTGACGCCTCCCGAGGCCTGAGGAGTCAGGGGACATAAGTGGTGCTGTCTCCTTAAAAGTGCCCTTCCTGTGACCCCTCCTGGGCCGCCCACAGGCTGTGGGCTTGGGAGAGGCTGTGTGGGTGGCTGAATCAGAAGGAAATGCTAGGTTTTGTGTAGATGCATTTGTCTGCTGTAACTTTTTATATATATATTAAACTTAACTGTAACTGTACAGTTCATTTCTGTTGTAAAACATCATTAAACCATTTTTCCAAGTGTTTTCGCATTGTCTGAGTTTCTCTGATGGGGTCGTGTTGGTGTCTGGGTGCTTCACACACATCCCCACCCAGACGGCTCACAGCCCTGCCCGTCACCCCCGGGCACAGGGTCCGCCCGCCTCCCAGCCAGGCCCTGGGGGTGAGCAGGCAGGCGTCGGCCGCAGTGGACTCCAGACCACGGGGCTTGCTGCCATCCAACACGCAGGCTCCTCAAAGACTCCCATTTCACTGTGGACTTGACTGCAGAGCTGACACTGAACTTGACTTTTCCAGATTTATCATCTAAACTGCCCTGCACACACGTCCCCTGGGGCCCCTCGGGAGGAAGCCAATCCTGACTCGGGCCCTGCTCTCCTGTCAGAGGCGCCCCTTCTCCCCTGAAAGGGAACCTTGAACCTGAACGCGATTTCTTGCAGGGAAACCAGCTCACTGAGGAGCTCTGGGAGGGCTGCTGCCTCCGCGAGTGCCACAGCTGGTGTGGCCTGTGCTGCCCTGCGTGGGGGGTGGAGGGAGCTGTGCCTCCCACAGGCTGCCGTCCTATGAGGCCCAGTGGGGAGGGGTGGCCTCGGCCTGCTCCTGCTCACAGCTGCTCAGCCTTCTCCCCCGTTTTGCGTTTAAGTTGGTGAAGTTATTTCCTTAAAACAATTCCACGTTTTTAACAGGAATCCCGTTTGGCAGAGACAGTGGTGTGCTCACCAGCATGGGAGACCTTAGAAGGCAAAGCCCACTGCTCAGCCCCAGGGGCTGAGGAAGGAGTGCCCTTTCCACTCTGTTTCCCTGTCCTCCTCTGTCAGCGGTGGGTCTGGCCCTGGCCAGGTCCCAGTGGTTAGATCCTTGGCTGGTGCACCGAAGGGGCATGGGTTCAACTCCTCGTCAAGGGCACACACCTGGGCTGCAGGTTCGATCTCTAGCCCTGGTCAGGGTGCATGCAGGAGGCGACCAATCAATGTCTCCCTCTCTCCCTCCCTTCCACTCTCTCTAAAAAATCAATAGAAGAAATACCCTCAGGTAAGGATTAACAACAAAAATAAATCAACAGAAGGTGGGCATGTTCTAACTCACGTCATGTGGCATGAGGAGCTCAGCAGTGAGAGCTGAATTCTCTGTTGCCCCCTTTTCTCTCCAAAGACGAGGGCGGCTCTCCCTGGGGCTCGGTCTGTCAGCAGCTCAGTCCTCCCAGCCTGCTGCCCGAGCTGTGTGGTCATAGCACACTCGCGCATACACACACACACACACCCCTGCCCCTGGATGTCAGCCCCAGAGCTCACTGCCAGCTTGCTCCTGGCCTCCACTCAAATTCTTGACGCAATGGGTCAAACCCTTGTGTCAAGCCAGCCATGGGTCACATAACTCAGCCCACCTTGACCCTAGGTGTGGGTGTGTCCACTCGCTTTGACGGTAGATGACCAGCGTCAGCCTCTGAAAGGCGGGTGAGCGGAAGTTGCAGCCATGGCCGAGCTTGAGTGGCAGCAAAGGCAGCGAAGCGACGCTGGGGTCTTCCCGGCCCCAGCCAGGTGCCACGGCAGGCGGACAGTCTGGCCCTCGGGGCGTTCCTTCCACATCCTTCCAGGGTCCTCCGTCCTCGCTGGCTGGCCCACACCTGCCCGTGCCCAGGCCCTGACCCTGCAGCGTGTACTACGTCCCTTCAGATGATGTGGCTGAAACCGAGGGCCAAATGTGACGTCCCCAACTGTGATGACTCCATGCTCTTCTCCTCCCTGGTACCTGCCACCCGCTGGGCATGGAGTGGCTGCTGCCGACATGTTGGCCGTAGGGAGTTGGGTTCCCGGCGTCCAGGTCAGGGGCAGAGCGCCTTCGCCGTGTGTGGTGCTGAGCAGCATGTCCTGGCAGAGGTGCCTGGCATTCCTGTCCGAGTCCCCGACGCTCCGGCTTTGACAGCTGTGGCCCGGACTTTTCTTTTGAACAAGTGAAGGTATTGATTCCAGAGCCTTTACCCAATAGAAATTGGTGGATTGCTATTTCCAGTCACCTTTTGTGAGGGAGACTGACCTCGAGGCCTCTGTCGTCCTCCATCCTCCCCAAACCCCATGTCATCTGTACAAACCAGTCCCAGACTCGCTCTGCTGCACGTGCTGCCGGTCCGGTGCCTGAGGGCCGGGGCCTCTCCTGCTCGTCTCCCACACCATGGCCAGAGCCACGCTGAGCCCTGCCCGCCAGGCCCTGTCCTTCACCCTCTGTCCCCACGCCGCCCGCCCCTCTGCATGTCACCTCACACTGCACCCAGGCTCAGGCCCGCCGCCGCAGCCTCCTGGGCCCTGGGGCACCAATGCTCCGTGCTCCTTGGAGAGCAGCAAGCTGGTTCCCGAGACTAAATGCTCATCAAGGACCTGGATGTTGAAATAAAGCTCCGCCTAAAGCAGTGTTTTCACTGAAGCGTTTATTATGCAAAGAGCAAGGCTTTAGCAAACCAGCATAGATTAAACCCAGCGGGAGAGGCTCCTTCCAGGCCCCTGTCCTCCGGGCTCTGCAGGCCCCGTGGTGTGGGGTCTTCCTGGGAGGCCTTCACGTGGCAGGTTTGTCCTGAACTCAGTGTGACGTGAACAAGTGCCAGGGAGCCACGGCCTTGCCCCGCTCGGGAGCCCGCCTCGGTTCACTGCTTTATACCGGTTTGCTCATCACACGCCTCCCTGTGAGGATGTGAGCTTGAAGGCACAGGCGTGTCCATCTCTCAGGCCCAGGGTCTGGCACTCAGACCCCATGGGAAGGGATGCCAGCGGAGGGAGGCCTGTGCTCCGGGCTCTGGAGCCTTCACGCGGCTCCAACCCAGCCCCCCACTGCGCCTCCGTCCGCAGGGGCTCTGCCCGGACCTTCCTCGGCCCAGTGCCGAGCTACCGAGCAGTGAGGGGACGGTGGACAACAGAAGCCAAATCTACAGCAGGAGCCAAGCCACTCAGGTGCCGACGGCACAGACTGCCGGACGGTGCTGGCGTCCGGGCTCCTTTGGGGCTTTACAAAACAGACTGAACAGCTTGGTGTGAGGAGTGTGCTGACCCAGGTGCGAGCCACGGCCCGGCCCTGGGCCCCAGGCAGGCAGAAGCCGAGGACTGGGCGGGCTCCAGGACGGGCCCGGGACGCACTCCCTCACGTGCAGGGTGACGCTGAATGGAGGTTGGGGACGGGAGGGGACCAGATGTGACCACATGAAGCACCTGTTCTGACAGAGGACTTGGAGGGGAGACAGGAGCGAACTGGGCTGTGCATGTTTTTCCTGGGTCTTTACAATCTGGGCGTCTGCGGGTCTCCCTGTGGGTGCTGGTCCCCAGCTGCTAGCGAGGGGGCAGCGCCTGCATGTGGAGGGCGTCATAGGTGTCTTTGGTGGCCGTACTGAGCCCCTGGGGAAGGGAGAAGAAAAAGACTGGGTCAGGAGCCGCACCTGCCCACCCGAGCCCAAGAGGTGCCACCGCACGGCCTGTGCCTGCCCACCCGCCTCCAGAGGCCCGGGAACTGCCCCTCATGCCCGCGGGGGACGGGTTCTGTCCCTGCTGGGCGTGGCCTGGGGCTCCTTTCCTGACAGCTGTTGCTGCCCCCAGGCGCTGGGCCCTGCAGCGCTGTGTCCCGTGTTCCCACCATGCCACTGCGCCACTGCGGCTCCACCCTCCCTGGGGCTCCACCTGAACTCGCCTGGCAGGTGGAGTGAGGGGAGGGAGGAGCCGGAGCGGCCAGGCAGCCGGCCAGGAGGCCCTGGGCTTGGCATACTTCTCCCCATGATTCCATAAGCCAGGCTGCTGACGGCCACATTTCCTTTTCAAACTTGTGACTTCCCTTGATATTTCCCCTTCCGTCTTCCCACCCTTCCTGCCGTCTCACTAGGTGTGCGGAGCGAGGCAGCCGAGGCTGCTGCAGGGCCCAGACGCGGAGGAGCGGCCCACGGCTGTGGGTCCTGCGCGGGCACCAATGCCCGGGACGCCCTTGTCCCGGGTGGGAACCCAGTCATGCGCCTGGTAACTAACGCAGCCCCGCGGGGACTGGCCGGCCCGCAGGCGCCCTGGGCTCGCCCTGCCCAGGCGTTGGCGAGAGCACGGAGCTGACCCCGCAGGTGAGGCGGCACGGCGGGGAGGGAGGCGGCACGGCACTCACCTGGTAAAGGCCGTCGTGCCCCTTGCCTCTCCGACGCTGGTTCTGTGGGGAGACAGGACGGGCCGGGTCAGGCAGGCCTCAGTGGCCCTGCCCACGTGGGCCGCAGGCCATGGGCAGACCTTGGCCTCTGAGGGGCAGGCGAGGCCTGGCTCCGGCCCGGGTTTGCTCTGGCCTCGCAGATCCACACACATGCCGGGCGGGCCGCACGGAGCTGCCGCAGGGCCCGCGGCTGGAGGAACAGCCCGCAGCCCTTGCAACTCCGGCTACTCCGGGAGGCTGCGGGCACGGCAGCTCCACTTCCGGTTCTTGGTTGTCTATGACCAGGGGCCCGCGGTCCCCGTACCGACACTCGTGGGCACGCACAGCACTTCTCACTGTTGCTAACGGCAACAGGCCTGAGCTGCTCTGACAGAGCTCAGGCTGCCCTGGGATCCGGCTGGTTTTAATCCCCAAAGAGCATCGGCCCTTCGTCCGTATCTTCTGTGCAGCCCGATGGGTAGGAGCTGGGTTGCCTTCACCTCTGCGGCCACCACATGGCTTTTGCAGGTGGTACGAATAGGTGGGATGGAGGCCCCCCGGCCGGCCCCCCCGAAAAAACCAAAGGGGACCTTTTGGGGAGCCCCCCCCCCCCCCCCCCCCCCCCGTTCTTGGGAATTAAGGAGGAGCAGCACTCACATCGCCTTTCGTCCCGATCTCGCTGTAGGCCTCTGCCATCTTCTCCCTCTGCAGCGCCTGGAGGGGCAGTGGGCACGGCTCAGTGACTAAGGCAGAAACACGCGCTCCAGCCCTCCCTCCCGCAGCCCTTGGGCCTCTCCCTGGGCGCCAGCCCTCGGCCCTGAGCTGGGAAGGTCGGTGAGGCTCAGGACGGTGAGAGGCGACGTTCTGGCCAAGGCCACCCACGCAGGACGCCGCAGGCTCACCAGGGGCCCCGGAACCATGTGGTTGAGCAGGTCGTCACCCCTGCAAGGGTCCCCTCATGGCAGACCCACACCAACGCCAGACCCCACCCGCGATGGTGAGGCTGGCCAGTCCGTGAGGTGCAGGCCAGGAGGCTCCAGCCCCTGGGAACGTGCCCCCCAGAGGGGCTAGCCCAGCCTGACCGGAGGCCCCGGCCCACCTGGGACCCGCAGCAGCCGGGGCTTCCTGCCGCGGTGCCGCAGGCATCGCAGGCCCAGGAGTGAGGTCCCGCAGGCGGAGTCGCGGGGCCTGGGGAAGCCTGGAGGACCCCCGCCAGCCCCTCCTCCCGCCCACTTTCCAAGGCACAGGCGCCCTCTACTCACGTTGTACAGGCCCTCCTGGGGGTTCTTCCTCCTCTGCTGGGAGAGAGGGGGAGTCAGAGGTGGAGCAGCAGCCCCCGTGGCACCCCCATCACCCCATCACCCTCTGCGGGCTCCGCCCCGGCCTGGCAGCGGGGCGGGGGACATGTCCTCCTCCAGGCGCCCGGCACGGTCCCCTCTCCCAGGCCAGCCTTGCCCGGGCAGGCCCGGGTTCTCCGATGGCCGTCTGTCCCTGGCAGGTACACCGCCCGGGCCACAAGCCTACACGTGGGGTTTTGCTGAAGCTGGAAGGTCGTTGGGAGCCTGGCAGCTGCTGCTCAGCTGGTCCCACTGGCCGATCTCCGCCCGCCCACCCTGCTCTCCCGGGAAGGGAGGGGGAAGGGCTCAGGGGGTCTCCCCCACCCGCTATTCATTCTAACAACCCTACATGGAGCTCGGGGGGTGGGGGGGGCTGCATGGACAGCTGTGACTGGACAGGTCAAGGGCCACAGGCGGTGTCAGGCAGCGTTTCCCTGGCCTCGCCCAGCTGCTCCCCTGGCACAGGTGACAGCGCCTGGCAGCCATGCTCACAGGGCACCTGGGACCCAGGGACCCGCGTCCAGCGGCCTGGCCCTTCCTGTGGGCCTCCCAACTCTATGCTCCTGGGCAGGTGGCGCTGCTGTGACGCATCAGGGTGGCCTGGACCCACGGCCCAGGGGGCGGAGGGGCCGCAGGAAACTGGCCTCCATCTGTCCTCCCGCCAGGCCCCTCATGAGGCAGGGAGTGGGCAGCAGAGGAGTGTGGGGTGCGGCTCTGAAGGGCCCTCTCCTCCACCCTGGCCCCCCACTCTCACTCAGCTCACACTCACACACTGACACACACACTCTGACACACTCACATACACTGACACACACACTCGCTCACACTGACCCACATAATGTGACACAATCTCTCACACACACTGACACACACACTCTGACACATTCTCACAGAACACACTAACACATTCTCACACACTGACTGAAACACACTAAACACACTGACACACTAACACATCCTCACACACTCATACTCACACACTGACACACACATACACTGACACACACATACACTGACACACACATACACTGACACACAGGCAGAAAGAGCGATGTCCGACCTGCTTTCCGCCCATCTCAGGGTCTCGGCCCCGTCTCTTATCCAGAAGGTCATACTCCTCTCTCCTCCCCAGGTTGAGCTCCTGAAACACACGGGAAGGTGTGAGATGGGCGACCCTCCGGAGGACAGCGCCCGGGCTGGGTGTTCCCGGGTGGCTCTCAGGGGAAGGAGCAGGGACCGGGGTGGCGGTGGTAACTGGCCCATTGGTGCCAGCACCTCAGAGCACATCTCCGGGCGTTACCATGGGCTGGGGGGCAGTGGTCAATCTGACTGAAGCCCGATGCACAGGGAGTCCCACCCCAGTGAGGATCCTCCCATTCCCACCCACACCTCCACCCCAACTCCCCTCCCCCCACCTCCAACCCCACCCCCCATTCCCCATTCCCAACTTCCAACCCCCAACCCCCACCCCCAACCCCCACCCCCGGCCTGTATTCTGTGCCCCAGCCAGTGCGCTAAGCGGGCGCTTTTCCAGGCACCCAATCCTGAGGTGCCTGTGGGCTCCCAGCGCCCCCACGAGGCTGGTACAATGACTGCGTTTCCCCGGGTAGAAACCCTGAGCCGGGTGGGCCTGGCCGGTCCCGACCCCCTGGGGGCTGCACAGGGCTGACTCACGTTGTAGACCTGGTTGGGGGCCCTGCAGGTGCTCCGGGGCGTCCGCACTCCCGCTGAACTGGGGGAGGGAAGAGCAGAGTGAGCGCCCAGCGGGCCACCGCCGCCCGCAGTCGCCCTGCCCCAGAGCCGCCCCGTCAGCTGGACTGTTCCCTGCCTCCCGTGGGGACACGGGCGGCCGGGCTGGCCAGGTGACCTCAGGGGCGGCCCGGGCTGGCCAGGGGCCCAGGCGAACATTCTCCCCCAGCTCGGGGCCCAGGCGAACATTCTCAGGCCCTTCCCCCACGACTCGGGAGCACAACCCTTAGGGGATGGCTGCACAAGGTCCCACCCTCTGGTGCGTCTGGGGCAGGTGCTGCCTGGCACGGGCTTGGCATCTGGAGGCCCTGCCAGGCGCACAGCCCACTTTCTGTCGCCTCAGCCAGAGGGTCCGCCAGGCCTCGGGTCAGAGACTGGCACCACCGAGACCCGGCGGCACCGTTCAGACTGAAAGGCAGTCAGCACGGCGCTGCTGCTCAAGTGGAGTTTCCCGCAGCCCTAACTCCAAACAGCCGCGAGGGGGGTGCTGCAGAGAACAGGGCTGCAGCCTCCCCCTCCTTCTCACCCCCAGGGCCACCCCCGCCCCTGCTCCCCTCCAAGAAAGCCAGGCCCTGCGAGGCCCCAGCAGAAACCCTGCTCGGGGTCACCCTCCCACTTCCTGCCGGGACCTGCACCAGCAGCTGGACAGGGATCTGGGGAGACCTCAGGTCCCCTCCTCCCCGCTCCCAACTGCCTGAAGCATAAGGCCACTTCCTGCAGCGGCACCTGACCCCACCCCACACCTGGGTGTCGCAGGTCAGAGCTCCTGGCTCAGGTGCTCCGCACCAGCATCTCCGGCCACTCTGTGGCTCAGCCCCCCGCCACCTGCCCTGCCCCCACCCCCCAAAGTGCACCCTGGGCTGGTCCCTGCTTTGCCCATGGACACCAAGCCGTAGGTACCACACATGCTCGAGACTTTCCAAGACCAAGGCCCCTCTGAACACCCACTGAGAGGGGTGCTACCCACCTTCGCTCTCAGGAACAGGGCGGTGATGATGATGCCATAGATGAACAGGATCCCATCCAGCAGGTAGCAGAGCTTGGGGTCCAGCAGGCCGAAGCTCTGTGCCTCTGTGCCAAGAGATGGGGATGGTCAGCCAGGCCCTGGGTGACAGACACGACCCCC